GTTGAGTATGCACTGTGTCCCACTGTGTGACTACATGTGGAGGAAGGTTACTTCATTGTTCCCGGTTCCTGGCTCTTGTGCTGTTCAGTCTGGTGTTTCCTTTGATCATCCTCCCTGAGCCCAGCAAAAATCAGCCTGTGCTTTAAGGCAAACTGCTGCTAGATGAACTCTGTGTAGTTCTATACAAGCGAGTCTATGGCACGCCTGTATCCTGTCCCTTCTCTACTGTATTGGTCTCTCCTGCCTCCTCTCTGCTCCAGTCCTTCCAGTCTCCCATCTCAGTAAGCAGCCCTATGCTGATGCCCCAGTTTATTTCTTAGTCTGATCTCTGGCTCCCTAGTTCTTACCAAATATCCCTTCTGGTCTTTTTTTTTTTTTTTTTGGTCTTTTGAGACAGGGTCTCCCTGTAGCCCCAGCTGACCTAGAACTCGCTATGTATACCAGCTGGCCTTGAACTCATAGAGATCCGCCTGCCTCTGCCTCCCTTTTTTGAGACCCTGTCTCAAAAAAGACCAAAAAAAAAGAGATTTTATTTTTATTCAGGTGTGTGCATGTGTGTGTGTGTGTGTGTGTGTGTGTGTGTGTTGTGTATCTGTGTGTGTCTATGTGTTTGCCTCTTGTGTGCAGGTGCCCATGGATGCCAAAAGAGAATGCTATATCCTCTGGAGCTGGAGTTATAGGCAGTTGTGAGCCATGCCATGTGGATCCCCTAGAAAAGAGACGTTAGCACTCTCAACTACTGAGCCAGCCAGCCATCTATCTATCTATCTATCTATCTATCTATCTATCTATCTATCTATCTATCTATCATCTATCTATCTCTATCTATCATCTATCTATCTATCTATCTATCTATCTATCTATCTATCTATCTGTCATCTATTTTTGAGAAAGGATCTTGCCATGAAGTTCAGGCTGATCTGGAACTCATAATATAGCTCTGGCTGGCTTTGAACTCAAGATCCTCCTGTCTCCGCCTCCAGAGTTGCTGGGGTTACAGGCAGTGCACCACACCTGTCTATTGAAAGTGTTATAAAAAAGTGTTTCTGACACATACACAGTCTCTTTTTTATAAGCTCTGGCCACACTACAGTCATCCCCCAGAACATTTTGGCGCTATTGTTTGCCTTCCAGGTGGATCCCCTTGTAGGGCCTCTACTCTTTGTATGTTCTGAATTCACACTTACAACGCCTATAGCACAATAGGAACTTAGAATCTTTTTTTTTTTTTTTTTTTGTCGGTCCTTTTTTGAGACAGGGTCTCAAAAAAACCAAATAAATAAATAAATAAATTTTAAAAATACTTTATTTTTATTTTATGTGTATGAGTGTATTGCCTACATGTGTGGCGAGGGCGTTGGATCCCCTGGAACAGGAGTTATGGACGTTTGTTAGCTGCCATGTGGGTGCTGGGAATCGAAACTCGGTGAATGGGGCACGGATCTCCTGTCACTCACACTCATTTCGGTAAACAAGGGGTGAAGGCAACAAAGATTTAGAGAATTGCCTGGGGGATCATTGATAGACGACGTAGTGTACCCAGATCTATATTTTTACGCAATGGTCTGTTTGGGAAATATACTGAAAACAGCGCAAGGGCTGCGCACAGAGCCTAGGGCTAGCTTTCCTGACCACCGAGGTTTATAGGCTAGGCCCGCACCTTTTCAGGGGGGCTTTAGAAAACGGGAAGATCTCTGGAGACCAAGAGAAGCCTAGAAAACTGGGCTTTCCTATCGGAGCTGGGGATGGAGGGTTGGAACTCTCAGATACAAAGAATCAACCCCATCCTTTAGAGGTTAGGGGACAACGCACAGGACGCTATTCCACCGTTTCCCGGCAACCGTTAGTCCCGCCCACCGCCTCCCCCTCCCCCAGGGGCTTTGCTAGCTCCCCTCGACCAATAAACTCACATAACGTCACGAAGTTGACCAGTCATTGGAGAGCTCCTAAGCTCCGTCACTCGGAGGCTCCGCCTTCCCTGCGTCTTCCTTACTGCCAGCAACAGACCTGAGTCGGTCGTTTGAGGACTGCCGGGCAGGCGACTGCGCCAGGTGAGGAGGGCCCGAGATGCCAGCGTTGTCTTTCTCCTGCCCTGGCCTGAGCCCAGAACACAGCTGAGGGTACCAAGGACCTGGTTCATGGAGACCAGTCAATCCTTGAGGCCGGAGTGACTGAGGGCCTGGGGTCTGGACACGGTTTCCTGCAGGGTTCTGGAAGCGTTGGGTCAGAGGCATGCTGGCCAGCGGCGAAGGCAGGCTTTGGAGGGCGTTCAGAGGACTGATGGGGGTGGGAGGTCCCTACCCCGCCGTGGCATAGCTATCTCTCTTACCATGGGCCCTTGCGCTGGGCCCTTGGGCTGGACTTGTCTGCTGGAATTTTTCAGACCGTGCCCTAGCCAGCTTTCCTGATCTGTAAAGCCTCTTCTTACAAGAAGGTGTTGACCTATCCTGTAAATCTAGGTGGTTATCTAGGTGGACTCTGCGCATAGCCCTTTCCCCATCATCTCTTCTTGGGTTGCTTTCATTATATTTCCCAATAGGCAGAGTGTTGGTGCCCGGTAAAAATAAGGATTTTGGAAGAATACATCATGTACCAGTTTGCTTTGAGCAAACCACTCTTCTTATCCTGTTGTTTCTTCCCTCTTCCTCCTCCTCCCCTCCCTCTTCCTTCTTCCTCAACAGTACCTGGAACTCACAATCTTTCTGCCTCAGCCTCCTGAGTGCTGACATTCTACGTGTGCTCCACCATACCTGTAATTTACACATCTGTAAATCGATTTACACAGTTACAGATTATACATCTGTAAATCGATGAAAATGCCTCTCTTTCAGTGTTTGTATTAAGTGCTAACTACCCAAATTTGATAACTACACATTGCATGTATTTATTGAATCATCACAAGGTACCCCATAAATATGTGCAAATAAAGTAGTAACAAAAAACTTGAAAAAAAAAACAAAACAAATTTAAAGTGATAAAAAGTAAGTTATAATCTGAAAAAAAGGAACTTGAATTATATAGCCCAGCTGCCACGTGTAGTGATTATGAGGCCCTTGTTTCATGATAGGACTTTTTTTTTTTTTTTTTTTTTTTTTTTTTTTTTGATACAGGGTCTCCCTGTGGCCCCAGCTGGCCTGGAACTCACAGAGCTTCACCTGGCTCTGCCTCCTGAGTGCTGGGACTAAAGGTGTGTGCTACCACACCCTGGCTAGGACTCTTTGACAGACACTTTTTACCATGTTTTATTGTCTTCATATTGCAAGACTTCAGTCTGCCCTATTGAAGACAGAGTTTAATTGACTGATGATAGAGCAGCTGCATTTTGGAGGTCTTTAGAGAAAAGTGCAGCTAGCTAGTTGTGCACACTGAAAATGTGTTTGTTAAAATATGGAAAATGTAGGCCTGCGCTATAGCTTCTCAGACTCCTTTGTGGATTTTCATCCTGTAAGTGAAGACCATAGGAGGCAGCAGACTGCTGATCAGCCAACAGTAAAGCCCTAGGCTCCCTTGCATGATTCAGAAAAGTGTTTAGTGTAGAACACTTGCTTATCTCATATGCATTGCTCCCTAGGTTCAAACCCCAGTACTGTTAATATATATATATATGTGTGTGCTGTGTGTGTGTACATATATATGTACATATATGTAAACTTTATCTTTTCAACTATTTGTGTATTGTTCAGTGTCATTTACATTGTTTTACAACCATCATAACCACCATCTGTCTCCAAAACCTTTCATTTTTCCCTTGACCTCTGGTAAGCACTGTTTACTTCTTTTTTTTTTTTTTTTGTCTTTTTGAGACAGGGTCTCCCTATAGCCCCAGCTAGCCTGGAACTCACTATGTAGACCAGGCTGCCCTTGAACTCACAGAGATCTACCTGCCTCTGCCTCCTGAGTGCTGGGACTAAAGGTGTGCACCACCATGTCTGGCAGCACTGTTTCTGAAGAAGACCTGGGTTGGAATCCCAGCACCCACATGGCAGCTAACAGCTGTCTGTAACTCCAGTTCCAGGGGATCCGACAGCCTCTTCTGTCCTCCTCAGGCATTGCACAACACAGGTGCACTTACCTACATGCAGGCAATACATGCATACACATAAAAATAATAAATAAAAATTTTTTAAAAATTATATTTATGTGGATCTCTGGTCTACATAGTGAGTTCCAGGCCATCTGGGGCTACAGGAAGACCCTGTCCCCAAAACAAAAACAAATTTACATTTATTTATTTACATTAGGGGGAGGGCAATATGTGCCACAGTGCAGGTATGAAGGTTAGAGGACAACTTTCAGGAGTCAGGTCTCTCTTTCCACCATGTGGTTCCCAGAGAGTGAACCTAGGTCAACAGACTTGGCAGAAAGAGCATTTACCCATTGAACCAGCTCACTGGCTTGTATTCTCGCCTCAGTCTCCCAAGTCCTCAGATTACAGGCATAAGCCACCATACCTGGCATCACTGTTCTATTCTTTTTTTACTTTAAAAACTTTTATTTATTATTTATTTATTTATTTATTTATATTATTTATTTATTTGAAGGGATATGCCACAGCATGTGTGTGGAGGTCATAGGACAACCTGCAGGAGTTGTTTTTCTCCTACCGTGTGGTTCCAGGGATTAAACTCAGATCATCAGGCTTAGTAGCAAGTACCTTTACTTACTGAATTATCTTGCTAGTCCGCTGTTATATTGTCTGTTTGGCAACTGGACTCTTTTGTACAATGTTTATCTGGGCTATTGTGTCTGGGCTTCTAAAATTCCATTGTCAAAGAATAACCTCATTATGAAGACAATTGAGTACAATGCCTTTCTTAAAATTTTTACTTTTTATTTAAATTTTTTTTTTACTTATTTATTTATACGTATTAGTGTTTGGCCTGCATGTAAGTGCACAATGCATGCAGTGCCCACAGAGGTCAGAAGAGGATGTCAGATCTCCTGAAACTGGAGTTTTGGATGGTTGTTAGCCATCATGTGGATGCTGGGAACCAAACCCTGGTATTCTGGAAGAGTAGCCAGTGCTCTTAACCGCTGAGCCATCTCTCTAGCCCCTCAGTTGCCCTTTTGTCTTTATCTGTAACTTGAATCTGATAGAGGACATTTTTTTGTTTTTCTTGGGTTTTTTTTTTTTTTTTGGAGACAGAGCCTCCCTGTAGTTCTCTCTTGCCTGGGACTTGCCATGTAGACCAGGCTGGCCTTGATGTGATGTCACAGAGATCCACCTGCTTCTGCTTCACAAGTTCTGGGATTAAGGTGTGTGCTACCATACCCAATCTAATAGAGGAAAATTTAAAATTTATGAAAAGAAACCTCTTAAAAACCTGTTACCTTTCCTCAAGGGGTAAACAAATATATGACTACTGCACATTTATACTATACTATTTTCTCTTTTACATAGATTTTCACTAAGCAGCCCTGGCTGTTCTAGATCTTGCTACATAGACCAGGCTGACCTCAAACTCAGAGCTCTGCCTGCTTCTACCTTCCAAGTATTGAGATCAAAGGTATGTGCCATCACGCTTAGTCCAATACTGTATTCTTTTTCTTTCTTTCTTTATTTTTGAGGCAAGATCTCCCTATAGCCATAGCTGGCCTGGAACTTGATATATAGACTGGCTTTGATCTCACAGAGATCCACCTGCCTCTGCCTTGCTAGTGCTGGGATTAAAGGTGTGTACCACTGTGCCCAGCATGTATAGCCCAGGCTGGCCTCAAACTTATGATCCTTCTGCCTCTGCTTCTTCAGCATATCCTACCAGCATGAGCCACACAACCAGATCTCCCTGTAGCTGGCCTGGAACTTGCTATGTAGAGCAGACTGGCCTCAAACTCACAGAGGTCCACCTGCCTCTGCCTCCCAAGTGCTGGGATCAAAGTGTGTGCCACCATGGCCAGCTCTAATGCTGTATCCTTAAAGCTAGTTCTTACTCACCTGAACTTCTGTCTTCCAGCTCAGATTCCAAATGAAAATGTTTGAGAGCCTTGATTCTACAGCCACAAAATCTGGCCGAGATCTCTGGGCTGAAATCTGTTCTTGTCTGCCAAGCCCTGCCCAAGAAGATGTTGCCAACAATGTCTTCTCGGACTCCTTTATGGATTCTCATCCTGAAGGTGAGGGCCATAGGGAGGCAACAGACTCTGCTGTCCAACCAGCTGTAAAGCCCTGGGCTCCCTTGCACGATTCAGAGGTGTATTTAGCATCTCTAGGTAAGTTTTTTCTGTCTCTGTCTCTATTTTCTAGAGGATGTGTCAGGAAAGGACTCCTCCCCCGTTTCTTGCACTTTAAAACTGTTTTTGTCAACTCCTGCTTTCAACCACTTCATCTAATTCCTGTCTTATTTCATGATATACTGTAGAACATTTTCACAATTGGTGGTCCACTTGAGTTAAAATAACTCAAGAGTGTTAAATTTTGTGCAATTCTGATAGGAAAGTTCATGGTTCTGGAATGGAACTACATGGGGACTTCTAATGTTAGAGTTTGAAAAACTTTTATTGAGGAGATTAATTATTAGGAATGGGAACATGTTGACAGAAGATTCATTCTGCCATGTTAGCCTTTTTTTTTTTTTTTTTTTGAGACAGGGTCTTACTATGTAGTTCTGGTTGGCCTAGAATTTGCTATGTAGAATATCCTCAAACTCACAGAGATCTACCTGTTTCTTCCTAGAAAGTTCTGGGATTAAAGGCATATGCCACCACACCTGGCCCTATTAGCAATTAAAAAAATTATTTATTTTTATTTTATGTGTATGAGTGTATTGCCTGCATGTATATGAGTACACCCATGTCGTGCAATGCTGCGGAGGTCAGAAGAAGGCTTCGGATTCCCCTGGAACTGGAGTTAAGGACAGTTTGTAGCCGCCATGTGGGTGCTGGGAATTGAACCCAGGTCCTCTGCAAGAGCAGTCAGTGCTCTTAACCTCTGAGCCATCTCTCTAGCCCCTGTTAGCAATTTTTTAAATATTTCCTGAACATGTTTTCAGTGCCCTGCACTGTGATCATAGTATAAGTATCTAGAGAAAGACTCCAAATATTTGGAAAGACATTGAGGTTTTTTTAACTTTAAAAAAAATATTTTATTTATTATTTTTATTTTATGTATATGAGTGTATTGTCTGCATGAGTTAAGGACAGTTCGTAGCTGCCATGTGGGTGCTGGGAATCAAACCTGGTCCTCAGCAAGAGCAGTCAGTGCTCTTAACCGCTGAGGCATCTCTCTAGCCCCTTAACTTTTTATTTTATTTTATTTATTATTTTTATTTTATGTGTATGCGTGTATTGCCTGCATGTAGGTAAGTGCACCCGTGTCGTGCAATGCCTGCGGAGGTCAGAAGAGGCTGTTGAATCCCCTGGGACTGGAGTTACAGGCAGTTGTTAACCTGCCATGTGGGTGCTGGGATTCGACCCCGGGTTTTCTTAAGAACAACCACTGTTCTTAACCACTAAGCCATCTGTCCAGCCCCAAGACATTGAGGTTTTATGTAAGGGAAAAGAGAACACTCTGTCTCTGGCAGACTTTGGAACTGTAGCATTTATTTATTTGTGCTAATGATCAAGCCCAGGATCTCAGATATGCCAGGCAAATGCTTTGCCCCACCACACCCTTTTTATTTTTAATTTTTTGAGACAAAGTCTCAAGCAATCAGGTCTGGCCTCAGGCTTACCATGTAGTTGAGGATGACCTTGAACGTTGATCCTTCTGCTTCCACCTCTTGAGTGCTGGGATTACAGACATGAGGCACCATGCTCAATTTTCCTTAGCCTTTTTAAATTGGTACATAAAACCATAAAATTCTATATATTAGTTCTATATATTAGTATTACTATATTATCAAATAAACTTGTCTCAAGGAGACTCTGTTGACAAAGGCAACAGCTAAAACCTTAGAGATGACAGGTCTTTGGTTACTGCCATGCCCACTGCTCTCTTTGCAGTGTCTTGGCTAAACTTGTTTCTTTTATTAAAAAAAAATTAGTTAAATGTGAGCTATGCATTTATGTCCCTAAAGAAAAATTAAAACCCTTAGATACTAACATTTATCTGCTGCAGGTATCTGTGCTCTTGCTGGTAATTTAAAAGAATACAAGGTGTTTATTATTTTGATCAGTGGCATGTACTACTTCAATCATAAATTGTTACTGTTTAAATCAGTATAAACACATCTCAAATGTTTTTGTGGTGAAAACCTTGAAAAATATTCCTTTTGCTGGGTATGGTGGCACACAACTTTAATCCCAGGACTTGTCAGCAGAGGCAGGTGGATCTCTGTGAGCTCAAGGCCAGCCTGGTCTGCATAGTGAGTTCCAGGCCAGCTGAGGCTACAGGGAGACCTTGTCTCAAAAAGTCCCCCCCGCCCGCAGAAAAATTATTTTTATTTAATGTGTATGAGTGTTTGCCTGTGTGTATGTATGTGTACCATGTGCGTGCAGTGGCCTAGGAAGCCAGAAAAGGATGTTGAGTCCTCTGGAACTGGAGTTACAAATGGTAGTGAACTTCCATGTGGGTGCTGGGAACTGAACTCAGGTCCTCTCCAAGAGTAGCAAGTTCTCTTAAACACTAAGCCATCTCTCAAGCCCCTTGTGAAAACTTTAAATATATTTTCTTCTTGTGGTATCCTTTAAAAATTATTATTTATTGTATGTACGCCATGGTGCATGTTGGAGGTCAGAGGTTAACTTGAGGGAGTTGGTTCTCTCCTTCACCAAGGTGGGTCTCCAGAATCGAGTTCATGTTGTCAGGCTTGGTGACAATCCTCTTTACCCACTGATCCATCTTCCCTTACTTGTGGTGTCCTTTTGTTGTTGAACATCCGTGAGACCCATCCATGTGTTACAAGACCAGATCTGGAAATTATTATTTGAAAATTTTCAATCCTCTGTAGTTTTTAAATTTATTTTTTTGCAGTGCTGGGGATCAAACCTAGGGCCTCTTCTAGGCAAGTACTTTACCACTGAGCTGCATGCCCATCCTATATGAAAGAAGGACAGGAGGAAGAGTCAGAGAAAGCTTCTGTGATTGCTAAGAACTATCATGAGAAAACAAAAGGAATTTCATTAATGACATACTGGAGGAGAAAAGCTGTGAGAAAAACACAGTTGGAAAGGTGGAAGACAAGATGCAGGATTAGTATGAAATACTAGGAAGGAAGTAAGCCACCAAAGAACAGTAGGGCTTGCAGTCATGGCCAAGGGGATCGAGAGTTCTGTTTGTGGTAGATAGAATATCTGCTTCATGATGATAAGGAGAAGAGGCAACAGTCTGAGAAAGAACCAGATCCTTTGGTTAGTTGGTGGCATGTGACCAGAGGTTACAAGAAACACTCTTGGAGATTGTGATGATGTTGATTGGTGCAGATTAGTTTGGAATGTTAAAACTCTACCAGACTTTTCTAAGATCACTTAAAAAACTAACTAGTAATTAAAATTTTCTTCTCTGAGGAAAGTAGGAGCTAAGAACCTTTCCATTGCCTAGGTAAGGACTTGGGCAGGCAGGTTTAGAGTGTGTAACAGTACTTGTAAGCCTGCCTTATTAAAATCACACCTGGTCAGGAACCCAGCACAACCAGAAGACCTTTCTAGTCGCCAAAGTACCTATCTCCGTGGCAACTAATTTGAGACAATATGAAGATTGTTTTTATTGCCAAATAAACCTGTATTAAAGAGAATCCACTGATAAGAGCAACAATTAAAAATTTAGTCAGATAAATGTGAGATATGTGTTATCCTTTTTACATCCTTAAGGAAAATAAAACCTCTTAGATGTTAGCATTTATCAACTGTAGGTCTTTTTACTAGGGTAGACTTTTACTGGTGACCTATACTTTAAAGTATGCATTGTTTTGGTCAGTGGCTGTTTGCTGATGTGACTGGTTTAGAAATGAAAACAAGACTGCCTATCCTAAAATTTCTGTTGGTTCTGAGATCAATGTTCACCCCTCAGAAGCTATCATTTGCCTATTTGGAGAATTCCTTCCCTGGGGAGACGTAGACAGTGGCTACCCCCTCCTATGCGGCTCCAAGGACAAAACCAGAGTTCACCTTGGGGAACCAGTGAGTTTATTGGGTGAGAGGCTATTCATAGGAGCATGGGGGACCCCCAAAGCAGCAGCTTTGATGATAGCTTCTCCGTGATCATACAGATGGAGGAGTCTGCCTTCAGTCATTCTTCCCCAGCTAATATACTCACATACCTCCTCAGACCAACCACATGCAATTAGGGCAGAATTACTTACAAATGGCAGGAAGTACGGGAGGAATGCCAGAATCTTAGGTGAGGGGCCAATGACCCTCTCCACCCTCTCTTTTTCTGAGGGAATATCAGCAGTCAGCAGGCTGCTAGTGATGGTCTTCTTGTAAGAAGGAAGCTGATCTGATGAAGACAGCAGCTGTTTTGCTTGGAGGACATTGTTCTCAAACACCTATGTGGACTCACACATTGCTTAGCAACAGAGACATGGTCTCAGAAATGTGCTGTTAGGTGATTTCATCATTTAACATCGTAGAATGTATCTACTCAAACTAAGTATTATGGTATCACTAATCCATACAATCTTTTTTTTTTTTTTTTTTTTTTTTTTTTTTTTTTTTTTGGTCTTCTTGAGACAGGGTCTCCCTGAGCTCCAGTTGTCCTGGAACTCACTATGTAGACCAGGCTGGCCTTGAACTCACAGACATCTGCCTGCCTCTGCCTACTGAGTGCTGGGACTGAAGGTGTGTGCCACCACACCCGGCTAGTCCATACAATCTTATGAAATCATTGTAGACTATGTGATTTGTCCTTGACTAAGCATTAAGAAATGCATGACTCGGGTGGAGAGATGGCTCAGTGATTAAGAATGCTGGTTGTTCTTGCAGAAGACCCAGGTTCGAATCCCAGCACCTACATGGCAGCTAACAACTGTCCTAACTCCAGGTCCAGGGGATCAGCCTCTTCTGTCCTCCACAGGCATTGCATGACACGGGTGCACTTACCTACATGCAGGCAATACACGCATACACATAAAATAAAAATAATAAAATATATTAAAAAATAGTTAAAAAAGACTAAAAAAAAGAAATGCATGACTGTTATATAGTTGAAGGGAAGACTAAAGTAGTGCAGAAAATAATTGTGATGTCATTTCTTGTATGTTTTAAAAGGGGAAGCCTTCAACAATTATATTTAAAATGCAAAGATGAGTAATTAAACATCTATCATCAAGAAGCCATATGAAACACTTTCAAAGGCATTATAAGATGTTTGCTTTTATTAGGCTCTAACATCCAGGCCACACAAATTGAGCAACATTTTTAAATGTTGGGAGTTCTTTTTCTTTAATCAAGAATTTAATTACACAGAGAGATCCTAAAGGTCTTTTTTATTGAGTTCCCATCAAGTCAATTTTAGCATCTAATGAACCATAGAATCTCTCATCATTTTTACTAATTCTTTCTCATGAGGGCTGGAAACCACTTCATGTCACTGTAACGAGAAGAAAAACCCTTTACTCCTCAGAGACATTATTTTCAAGGAGTTGAAAAAAAGGATAGAATATACTTGTCAAGCCAGGAAAACAAGCATTCCTTAGAGAGACCTGCTGGGCTTCTGTGATTTCAAAGAAAACATGCCATTGTTTTATTTATGAGAATTTATGGCTCTTCCTTTTTCTGGGTTAAGCATTTACTTGATACAATGCAGGATGAAGGAAAGGAGCACATTCCGGACATTTTTTGCCCTCTAGAATGAGCTCTTTTGGAGCAAATATCGATATACTCAGTGAAAGGATTGTTTTTGTTTTTAATTTGTTTGGTTGGATTTTTGAGATAGGGTCTCATGTAGCCTAAGCTGACTTTGAACTTATAACCAGTACTAGCTTTGAACTCCTGATCCTCCTGCCTCAGCCTGCCAGTTGCTAGGATTATAGGCTTGTGCTATCACACCTGGTTAGAGAGGATTGCTGTTAGCATTTTGCATCTTAGATAGAATTAAAATGTCAGTTCATGTTCTCTTTGTTAAACTCCATTTCTTTTCTCTTTAGAGAAGAAACTAAGGAGAATCAAAGGTTTAAATGAGGAAGTAACTTCCAAGGACATGCTTCGAACCCTGGCCCAAGCCAAGAAGGAATGTTGGGATCGATTCCTCCAGGAGAAGTTATCGTCAGAGTTTTTTGTGGATGGGCTTGATTCCGATGAGAGGTAATTGATCCCAGTCTAGGTCCAGGTGATAGCCTGTTTCACTGAGAGTCCTTTTCCTTCACTAAAGAACTACAGGATAGGGCCTGGAGAAATGGCTCAGCAGTTAGGAGCACTGACTGCTCTTGCAGAGGACCCAGGTTTGATTCCTAGCACCGGCATGGTGGCTAACTCCAGTTCCAGTTCCTCTACTGACTTCCTGGTGTCTATAACTCCAGTTCCTCTACTGACCTCCTTGGGGATTGCATGACACAGGTGCACTTACACACATGCTGGCAATATACTCATACACATAAAATAAAAATATTAAATAAAATATTTTTAAAAAAGATCTCCAGGATTGTGACATCAGAGTTCTGAGTACTGGCATTAGTTATTACCAACATCGCCTCTTTTGAACTGATATCAGCCCTTGGAAAGTTGTTTTATTTGTTCTTTGCCCAGAAGTAGTGGGGTTTTTTTTTGTTTGTTATCTTTTTGAGACAGGGTCTCCCTATGGCCTCAGTTGGCCTGAACTCACTATGTAGACCAGGCTGGCCTTGAGCTCACAGAGATCTGCCAGTCTCTGCCTCCCGAGTGCTGGGATTAAAGGCATGTGTCACCATGCCTGGCTTCAGAAGTATTTTTTGGGGGGGGGGGTCTTTTTGAGACAACATCTCCCTGTAGCCCCAGCTGTCCTGGAACTCACTATGTAGACCAGACTGGCCTTGAACTCACAGAGATCCACCTGCCTCTGCCTCCCAAGTGCTGGGATTAAAGGTGTGTGCCACCACACCCAGCAGAAGTAGTTTTTAAAATATTTTATTTTATGTGTATGAGTGTTTATTTGCATGTATATAAGTGCTCCATATGTGCATGGTGCCCACAGAGACCAGAAGAGGGAGTCAGATACCCTGGAACCAGAGTTACAGATGGTTGTTAGCCACTAACCCTGGAACTGAACCTAGGACCTTTGCAAGAGCAACAAATGCTCTTAACCACTGAGTCATTCCTCCAGCCCCACTGTCTTCATTTTTAAGTATGCAATACACTTGAGAAAGTACTAATCAGTCAACAGCTAGAACCATGTCATTTATCCCCAAATCTCCTTTGCCAGAGAGTTTCTATCATATTATAGCCAGTCAATACATTTATGTAGATTGAATGAATACATTTATTAAACATCTATTATGTGATGGCACTGTGTTTGGTGCCATGAGAAGGTGGTGTAAATAGAGCTAGATGAACAAAAGGACAGTGTGTGCTTGGAGAGTTGGAAGACTTGAGCTTCCTGCTAACTTAGGTCTCAGTGTCAGGTAAGGAGGCAGGACTTGAACAGTGCCTGCAGGTAGCTCAGATGTAGAAATGTGGAATGAGGGTATTCTGCCAGTGAGCAGCATGACTCTTGACATTGGGGAGGGTGGCTCTGTCATTTACTTATATGTTCTTACATAAATAACATGTATGTGCCTCAGTTTTTTCTGATTTGTAAAGTGGAAGTCAAAGGTTTTATCTCATAAGGATTACATGACTTACTATGTGTGTCTGAACACACTACTCACCTCTGTAATCCTGACACTGAGGAAATTGAAGAAGGAGATCGTGAATTTGAAGTCAGTCTGGGCTACATAGTAAGATACTATCTCAAAAAAAAAGTTATTACATGTAAAGGGCTTAGAGCAGTGCCTGGCACATGGTAAATACTGTATATATTAGCTTTTTTTTTTTTTTTGGTCTTTTTGAGACAGGGTTTCCCTGTAGCCCCAGCTGGCCTGGAACTTACTATGTAGACCAGGCTGGCCTCAAACTCACAGTGATCCACCTGCCTCTGCCTCCCAAGTGCTGGGATTAAAGGTGTGCACCACCAGGTCCGGCATTAGCTGTTATTAATGCTATTCCTTCTGTATTACTTTCCTGTTGCTGAGATAGAAATACCATAACCAAGGGAACTTATAAAAGGAAGAGTTTATTTAGCTTATGGTTCCAAAGGGGCAAGAGTCCATCATGGCATTGGAGGCATGGTGGCAGAGGTGCTTGGAGTAGGAGCAGAAGCTAAGCTCTACATCTTCAAGTGGGCACAAGAAGCAGAGCATAACTGGAGATCTGGCAAGGCTTAAGAACTCTCTAAGCACTCGCAGTGACGTGTTTCCTTCAGCATGGCCACACCTTCTAAGACCTTCCAAAACAGTGCCACGAACTGGGGACAAAAATGTTCAAATACTTAGAGCCTATGGGAGACATTCTCATTCAAACCACCACACCTTCCTAACAGAATATTAAAGTTTGAACCAGGAGTAGTGGCTCACGTGTGTAATCTCAGCACTTGGGAAGCTGAGGCAGAGGATTGCTGTGAATGCTAGGTAAGCCTGGGCTACATAGTGAGTTAAAAGCTAACCTGGGATACAGAGTGAGACTCTGTTTTTAAAAAACAACAAACAGGCCAGGCGTGGTGGTGCACGCCTTTGATCCCAGCACTCGGGAGGCAGAGGCAGGTGGATCCCTGTGAGTTCAAGGCCAGCCTGGTCTACATAGTGAGTCTGAGGAGAGCTAGGGCTACAGGGAGACCCTGTCTCAAAAAGACCAAAAAATAAATAAATAAATAAATAAAATAAATAAATAAAAAACAACAAACAACCCAATACTAGGGCGTATGAGACGATTCAGTGGATAAAAACACTTCTCATCAAGCTTGATAACCTGATTTTTGTCCCTGAAACCCCCATGTGGTGGAAGGAGAGAA